AAAAAATGTGCAAAATCATAAATTTCTCTCTGGTAAATTAAATACTACCCAATATTTATGTTTAAAAAAATGGAAAGGCCATGTAAGGTAATTCTTTATTCAAAAAATTAATTAAATGTAATTATAAATTTTACTTAAAATTATATAAAATAAAAAAAATAAAAATACGGGGCAAGAAAAAACATGAAAGCATATTTGTTATTATTTCGGATATATGTTTTAGACTCTAGCCTTTCTCTTCTATCATAGCTTATTATTACTGTACTTTACCTAATATCTTTTTCAGAATCAGTGATGAGTTGGTCCACTTTCAATAGACGTAGCGTCTCCTCGTCAAGCTCCTGTGGATTTTTAACCTAAGATTTTCGGTTACTGGTTATAAATGGATCGGAAGTACAAAGTAACGTGTGAAATACATCTTCATTTGTTGCAGATCTAGAGCACTTTCTTCTGTGGTGTAATCTAAATTGTTTGTACTTTTTATTACGAGATTCTTGAGCGTCTTCTGAAAGCTGTCCGATAGGTAACACTGCAAAATTATTAATTATACCTTCTCCGTGAATTAATATTTTGTGTACGGAAGATGGCATATAATACCAATCATACTTACTGACGTATATTCTTGCACTTTCCAAAGCATATTCCCAAAATATTTGGGAATCTATCGTTATGCCAGACGATAAAGCTTGAAGGATTACATAGAGTCGCTTTATCAAGATTTCATCGACTCCTGTATTTTAGCTGAGCAGGCTGCATTATAAAAAAACTTTCTCGTAGTGTTATCGTCATTGGTATTACCACCTCCTTGCCGTGGTTTATCAATTAAGTATTAATCCAAGCTCTTCTCGAAAGCGTCTTTGTACCACAGTTTTCTTCTCTTGTTCCATTTGTTTATTTTCGTCACTCGTAGCTGACTATTTTTGAAACGAAAGGTTGTAAGAAATATGCAAAATCATCTCCTTAACAATCAACGATGGACTCAAAGAATCTATTTAATTTTGAATATCGTTAACAACAGCTTTAGTTTTCTCAGGAGTTTCTTTCGAAAATTCAATTAAAATACGGCGACAGAATCTCACGAATGAAGGCGCAGGATTTTGCCAAACAACAGTACCTACCAGTCGTTTCATCAATTAATCTGATGGGAACAATAGATGCGACGAATAAGTATGAGTCTGACACAAGTTCAGACTCCTCTGGAAGTCTTTGTTTATACTCACTTTGACCAGACGAGCCATCACATCCCCATTTACTGTATAAAACCAACTGTTTCAAACCGTTTTTGTACACGGAATCTATCATCAATATCCTCGCCGTTGTGTGATCTAATAAATCTTGCAGGGATAACATTTTGGCGCATGTATTTGTAATTTCAATAGCTGATGCAGGTGGGTAACAGTTCTGTTTACTTTTTTGTACTTTGTAATAAGGTGGTAGTAAGAAACAGTTCCGTTCATCCATAACATTCTTCAAATATATTATATTATATATAATATTGAGCGCTGGTCAGATCCAATTTAATAAATAGGTACACTTAATACTTCTTGATCGCTCAGCGTTTGGATGGTATTATAGTCGTCCATCAATTTTAGCACTGATATATTTTTTTCTGCATCTGCAGACCTCAATGCATCCACGATTTTTGTCTTTTTGATTTTTTGTCTAGTTATCAAAGGTAAATTGTCCTCCGAACGTTCATAGTATTCTCGTAAAAATGTTTCTAGAGCAGATTCATTTCTCCCACCTTCAATGTAGGAAAGTATCTATTAGTTCTCGTTTCAAACATTTGAATGTACTCATTTTCAAAGGAGTTGGAAAAGTATATTCAGTAACAAACGGCTGCTTGTTTTAATAAATTTATGAATTAATGTGTCAGAGCATTATATAGTAATGGTGTAGTGTGAATAATATTGATAAATGCAACTGCATCTATATTATCTTATCGCGTTGCATTGATAAGGGTTTTTCTGCGGTTGGACATTTATTACGATTTCTTTCATATTTTTAGAAACCCAAAAAAGAACTGCAGCTGATTTTTATAAAATTTTGATAATGAATACATACGCTATGAAATAATACAAAATTCGAAGCTTCCGCAAGCTTCGCTAACAGTCACAACCTTTGATGAATTTGATAAAGATAGGTTAATGTCTCCATTTTTAATCATGATTTATTTTCTTTACATTACACAACAAATTTGAAAAATATCAACTATTTTTGACATTTACGTAAGATGTGTTTTATAGAAACATATAATAACTCATAGTTTATCTAACAAATCAATACGTAATAGGACGTCGAAAGTCCCAAAATTATACGGCAAAACGAGATGAGTACGGGAAAGGATATTTTGGATGTATTTTTATTAAATCAACATACCTATCTAATATAAAAAACCTTTAGTACAATAAAATATAACATCTAAACTATCAAATAAAATTAAATGTGTATTTCAATTAAGACATTGGTCAAAACTATTTTTGATACTCCGTTGTTCTACTATTTCAAAGCAAGTAGCCACGTGTCCAATTGTATTAAAAAAGAAGCAATCATCCGCTTAGAGACACTTTGCACGTGCGCCACTTTGGTTGGTTTCGGTTCATCTCGAAAGACCGATACGCTCCATTGCCGCTTTGTTTTGGGATCATAACTATAAATCCATGTTTCGCCACCTGTTACTATGTCCCACACCAAATTTGTATTTGACTCATGCCTATGCCTAAAGATGCCCGAATCTCATGGTATGTTCATGCATGTCTGTTTTGATTGGCGAACAGCATAGATGTTTTGTTGTACAGAGCAGTGGACGGGCGACCATCACGAAATTCGTCACTGAGATTCACACGACCGCGTTTGAATTCTGCAAACCAGCTATAAATAGTCGTCTTGCATGATGCTTCATCGCCAAAAGCAGTTTGAAGCCCAGCGAAACTCCGCTGAGCTGTTCAATTACACTTAAAGTCGTTGAAAATCATACTACGAAAATTTTCACGAGTTAAATCCATGGTGATGTAGACAATCAATTTCTAAAGTAACGCCACATTGTAAAAACAAGTGACAGTCAGATGAAACAAACTGCATTCTACAGCCAAAGAGTTCCATTTTCAAATGTTGTAATTACTTTTTAAATATTGTTTATGTAAGTGGCCAGTTCCGGAAATTTATAGCTGCTTATAGTGCGCCCTATGTATTAACCTAACAACCCATACAAATTAACTTAGGATCTTAGCCGAATGCGCTTGGAATTACAAGATCTTGATCATGAAATTCCTACTACTAAACTTGTGCCTGTCCAGTCTCTAGGCGTGTGAGCGATCCAATTTGCAACTGCAATCGGTCAACTGTTAAATAATTCAGCTTTTAAATTCTTTGATAGTTTAGTTGAGTAGGCAATGGTGACGTCTGGGATTTGAGAAATAATAAGAACCGAAAGAATCACTTTTGTAGTCCTTGCGATTTGTGCTTGAACGATTTCTTAATATAAACGTGAATGTATTATTATTTATCATTGTTGCTATATTTTTTATTTTGTGAATAAACTTTTCTTCACACACATTTATTAGTCTTGCGTCTCTCTCGAACTTGTAATAAAAGCAGTGGAAGGTCGCTGTTGTGCCGTTGGCATCATCGCGTCGGTTGTCATAGCGGAGCGGGGCCCGCGTCTATTGTTCCGCAACGCGAACAGACTGAGCTAAAAGACAGGTGTGAAGTGTGAACAATTAATATTATGTAACTACTATCGCAAAAAATAGCGGGGTTTTGTAGTTAGAGTTTTTACCAAAATTAACTTTTTATAAGTTATATGCGTTTTTAGCTTTTGAATCATTTGTGTACCTTTTTAAGCTGATAGCTCTATAGTTATTTAGTGATCAATAAATAAATATTAAATAATTAATAGTCTCCAAAAGGAATTATTTGAGTTCAATTAATCGAACAAAAATGTATAGCTTGATGTTGATGTACGTACATTTACCTAGACAAATCATACACATAAATTAAAAATGCATATCTAAAGAACCACGTATAACTTCGTATTTGTGGTGATTAAAATTTCCTGCATTTTGAATTTTGTTTTTAAGATGGAAGTCATCAACCAGTTATGTCACACAGACCGAAATATATGGTCTATGGTTTAATACGTACGTACATAGAACGTACCTGTAGCTGGTCAATAATTACCATGTCAGTCGCACAAATTAAAAACATACTGTCGGTCGGCCTTTCCATCCTCTAAGGTCGGCCGTGACTGAAATCTGTAAATGGCCCGACACATTGGTTTGTTTGCAGAAACAAATAAATGCTATTTAAATCCGAAATAATTACTAGTTTCATTTTCAACGTGTGACAATCGCAAATACCCTGGACAAAATAAGTGTGTTATGAAAATAACATAATAATAATTATGTTTTGCGTATGTTTGTCATAGGTAAATTTATGTGGTCTGTGGTAAACAGGTACGAAAATTGAAGACAATTTTTATTTTATAACTTCTCTTCAATTTGATCCGTAAATACGTATGCAATTGTAACAATTTTAATATAATTACTAACAACACATAAGTTGTACCTACTTCGAACTACAGAAAAAATAAAGGTTCTGAAAAACAAATCGAATTGCAGCGAACTAAGGCTAACTGTAATAATACCTATTTATCAACACTATGCTAAAATGCGTTAGGTACATAAATAAACACAGAAATTGAAAGAAGAAATTAATTTATGAATACCTGTAGAAATTGTACCTACTTCCGAATAATATACTAAATCCGAAAGAAAAACTAACTTACGGTGATGTCCTATGTTGTCATGTCACTCATAATATTACTTCCGCATGATGGGATCACGGAATATAAGTCACGGAAAATAAATAGCACTAATTAATGAAATGTGTTTATGGTCGCTTTTAAATTTATAGAAGTTGATTTACGATAAAAATGGTTAACAATAAGTTTCAGTCAAATATAAATTAACTTGGGTAGTAAGTACCGTATTACGTCAGCAAGATTTTGCGCAACTTTCAATATTTCATTCGGTTGTTTCCGCATCTTTATTTGCGTAAGTCTTCAGTAGCATAGCATAAGGCAGTAATATGTAAATTTTTAATAAGTTTAATTTACTTTTCGGAGCTTTTATTACTACCCTTTGAACTATATGTTGTTATTACCTTTCTAGATACATTATAGATATTAGAATTAATAACGTAAGTATACCTGTACTGGATGTATGTACATACATTACGTTATTGTTACATAGATATAATATTATTTGAATGATATTTCGTATTGTAATCGATGTCATTAAAGCTGTTATATTAAAATTATATTTGTTGTACACGACGACGCAACGTTCATAAACATAAACGTGATCAGACGCTGAGATTTTATGTTATTCTAATAAGTATATTGACTGCAAAGGACGTCGATCAACGTTTGTGTCGCAAGGCATGCCAAGTCACCCTATTTTTTAGTCTAATTTGAACGGAAGAGTACGATGTATCCGATTAGGGTGACCGCGCGCCGGCCAAACGTGTTACTGAAACGTAACCTTGTTTTTCACACGATAACGCTTATATTGCACTGCTCGTTCGTGTTAATGCATAGCAGCGCGTCCCTTATTCCAGTGTGACCATGATCGAATGGTGGAGCTACTAATTCTAAAACTTTTGTCACTATAAAACGGCCCATGCATTACCTGCACGCCCCGTCCGCCGCGCAGGCAGAAGACTGCTCACACACTATCCTGCGTATGGGCCACGTATGGAGTCTCGCAGGACGCATTGGAGGATTATTTGCACGCTGCGACTATATTCATAATCCTGCACTACGCGGCGGATGACAAGGCAGACTGCAATGCAGGATAACGACTGCCGTTTTACCGACAAATTCACGAGTTTTTTCTAGGTGCAATCAAATCTAAGCTAGGAGGCTGTGGTTCTTGATATTAAAAAAATGGCGCTGGAATAAGCTTGTTTTAGCGTGGACAGTAAAAAATCGTTATGACTTCAAAACGGAATTGTATTTTAAATTAAAATCGGCGGACCGACTAAAACTAGTTTTTTGGCGACTAGAACCGACTAAATGAGGGTTTTTTACCTGACTAATCAAATTATAAAAAGTCGAGTATGGTCATCGTTAGTCACGCTTGAATATGGGACGCAATCGCAGAATCGCCTTGCCTGGCTGCAATTTTAGGCGACATTGTGGCAGGTAAATTTTGTATATAAATAATAACAGTTCGTATATTAGTGATTTGTGAGTACATCTTATTTCGCTTTGAATGAAATTGGTGCAGAACTGTCTTAAATATTCGGTCGCGCGAGTCTTCGCGTTTGTAGTGGTCACTCGTGCTATTTAGAGGATACTCCATGCATAACGTGATTCACTTTTAAGCTTCGTGTCCCGCTGTCCCCAAAATACCTTAGAGGATGGAAAAAAAATAAAGGAATAGTCTAAGCAAAATACATAAACGCTTCGACAGAACAGGACACACGTGACGATAAATGAAAAAAAAATTAGTTTTTTTTTAATTTTTGATCATTAAACATTTTTAGTTTTTGTTTTTTTTTTAAACATATAACCTCATATAACATCAAATATTTCGTAACTAGCTATCATACTTACATGTATTTTATTATTAAAACAAAAATAAATTTACAGGGGCGTCCCCTCTGCTCTAAGGGCGTCCCGCTCCGAGGAAAACAAAATGGTCACCTTATCCATGTAATGTCCTCGAGGTCTATGCAGCACAAGCTTTTATTAAACGATTCAAAACACGGAAGAAAAAAACATGTACCTATTTATTGTTCTGTGAATTAAAATTATCCTTGCTTTAAACAAGTTCCGACAGTGCGCTACGCGCCGAAGATACAGTAGGGTAAAATTAAATTTCACCTTGCAGATTAAATTAAAGGCTTTTTTATTGATTTTCTATATAGTTTAATATCGACGATAAAAAAAAAACAAAATGCACTGTATAATATATTGTGCACCCGAAGACAACAGAAACAATATTAAAATTTTACAACATAACTAAATTAACATTTCCAGATTATCATTCTCAGTACAATTAATAACATATTTTTCCATATTCAATATACATGGATTGACCATACTACTACTACGTATTGTACTTCTTATCATCACAATGTTGCAGGAATGATTTCCTGGTAGCCAAGAAAACGATCAATTCTGAATATAAAAATAAAGCAAGTCGTGCACTTCGACAAAGCCCACCAGCAGATGCATTTGTGGTTCAATTATTTAAAAAAAGGCTCTAATGTGCACAGTGTATTAATAGTTCCTCAAAAGTGCTTCAAACAATCAGTGTTGCTTATGGACCCAGAGAATGAAAGGCTTTATAATAAGCTTAAGAATTACGTAAAAATATATGACATGTTAATAGCTTGCAAAGTAATAAAAACAATAATACAATAGTATTTGCGATTTTAGACTAACGCAAATAACCCTCTAACAATTATATCTTTTCTCACTTCACTCGGAATATACTTTACTTACTTCCCTTATTTAAAATTTAGTAATGATTTCGTATCCATTTTACCAGTACTTCTCAAGCGATTTTACCAGCGATGCGGGGTCGGTGTTGGGTCCATGGCGTTCGACTGGCACGCCATTTTTGTCAATGATAAATTTAGTGAAGTTCCACTTGATGAAATTGCCCAAGGTGCCACCTTGCTTGTGCTGGTACAGACAAATAAATTTAAAAATATTGGTATATACCTGCGACAAAATGTTAGTTAATATTCATGAATAAAAAAACAGTTTCTACATTTGCAATAGTAAGCAAGGACCTTAATGCCGCAAATGTATTGCTGGTCGTAGGTGTTATAAATATACCTCCTGTGCCTGTGATAGCGTTTTGACTCTCCCTACTATTAAATCCGGATCACTGATCAGACAGGTTCTGCACGCACAGAACCTGACCATCAGTAATTTTGTTTGTTAAAAAAAAGAAAAAAAAAAGATAAATAATAATCTAGATAGCGATGCAAAATAGTCAAGTATATTTCCATAAAAATAACTGATTACAACAGCACAACAGCTGTGTGTTCTCAGAGAAACAACCCTGTATCTAAATAGTTACCCCATGTATTTATATTTAAACTGCAAGGTCGTGGAAATCAATAACCACCTAATGGCAGCAATACCTTGTCAATATTTAATCAAAACACTGATAGTTATGTCTGATAATAAAAGTTATTACACTTTTTTAATTGTAACGTAATCGATAACGATATTTTTTGCTTTATAATAGTACAGTTTTATTATTTTACGTTTTGTTTATAAATGAATGAAGCAATGTTATTGAAGGCTGATGAAAATGGTGATGGCAATTGAGGAAAAGAATATTGTTAAATTTATTGACACAGGACAATTAAACAGATTGTTATTACATACAAGGTCATTTAATATCAACGATTAATTGTTGATATGCAAAGGAGGCTTGATTATTTCATTTACCTACGTATTTCATAGGGAAATGCTATTGCATATGCAGCTATTGCATTGTCATAACACCTGTACTGGGCTTTAAATTGGATCACTGATTAGTTTTTTTTTTATAACATCAAGTGATGGGACGAACGAGTCGTGCGCCTGACGGTAAGCTACATGCCTGTCCATGACAGTTACAATGCCACTCAGAGCTTTAAATTGCAAAGATTTGAGGGGCACTATCACTGCGCCCGTCACCCTGAGACATAAATTGACAAGTCCTATGTGCCTGTAATTTCAGCAGCACCCTTACTCTTCAAAACCGGAACACAGTAATGCTGACATTACTGCTTGGTGGCAGAAATAGGTAAGATGGCAGTACTACCCTGGACGAACTCTTACACAACGAGCTCTACTGCTATTAAACTAAAAAACTAAGAATGTACCTAGTACCTTCTTTTTTGACGTCAGCTACACCTACTACATAATTACAATGCAAAAGGAGAATGGGCGCCCATTTTCCTTTAATCTAATAAGTGTAATTAAGTAGTTACTTTTATTTTTTTTTAAATTATAAAGTGACGGGACGGAAGTAGGGCCGTGCCATTCAGTTTTAAAACGCAACGATCCAAAGGGTACCGCCACCGCGCCTGTCACCCTGAGACATAAATTGACAATCCCATGTGCCTGTAATTGCACCAGCACCTTACCCTTCAAAACCGGAATGTAGTAATAGTCATATTACTGCTTGGCGGTCGAAACAGGTAACGTGGCAATACCTACTTCCCTGGACGAACTCTCACAATGAGCTCTACTGTTACTAAATGTTAATACAGTTTACGGATGGAATTACAATTTATTGTTGCATGATTTGAGATTGAAGAAACAAGTCAAATCTATAATTAATTATTCAAGAGGGTATGAAGTAGAGAAGTATGCAAAATTCGTCTATGAAGATATAAGGTCCTTATACTGGTAAGACCTATTATTAAGTTGAAAAGTCCCATGTGTTTGTAATTTCACCAGCAGCACCCATCAAGACCGCAATGCAGCAATGCTCACATTACTGCTTGGCGGCAGAATAGGGAGTGTCATGCTTAATTTCGACTCGACAGTACTTTGACTATACATTAATTGGATAGAACACTACTTCGACAAAACATATGTTCGACAGGTCACCCGACCGACGACAGTACTACTGCTTCGACAACACTAACATTCGGTAGGCCACTACACCGACAGAAAACTAATTCGACACCACATATACATATTCGACAGGTCACTATTCAGACAGACCACGTAATCGATAAATAACTGCTTAACAAGTTATTAATTATTTCTCAGATATATATTTATACATACGAGATATTCCGCTCAAGAATGAGGTGGTCTCTAAGTAGTCTCTCAGTACAGGAAATATTTATATTAAATATTGATGTTGCGTCGGAATAGTGACCTATCAAATGTTTGTGTTGTCGAAGCAGTGTTCTGTCGGACTAGTGACCTGTCGATGATGTGTTTTGTCGAAGTAGCGTTCTGTCGAATTAATGTGTATTCGAAGTAATGTCAAGTCGCAATAGTGTTTGTCGAAATTAAGGGTCGTATTCCAGAACTCTACTCAATACTCAAGTCAGGACTTGAGTATTGCAGTGAGCACTGAAAATCATACTGAAGTCCTTGCCATTAGAGTCGTATTTCCAGTGCTTGAAATCATACTGAAGTCTGCTCAAATCCTGACTGCATTGAGTAGAGTTCTGGAATACGACCCTAAGTATGACACTCAGAAATAGGTAAGGTTGCAATACTTCCCTGGACAAACTCTTTCAGAAGGACCTCTAATACTATTTATAATATAATATAGGTTAAGTTATGAGCAGGCACGACTTTTCCTTTAGACGACACTTGTTAGGCAAAGCTGTATGTATATTAATGTCAGAACTTAATACTAGTGTCGCAACATCAGGAACCCAAGTAACTTAAAAAAACTACGCACCTTCAAAAACTTCCACAGTGGTGATGCATTATCACCATTGACATCAATCTTCTGAAATAGATCGAACTTGACATTCTTTTTTGATGCAAAACTGCAGATCGCTTCAGGGTCCCCAGGCTCCTGGCCTGCAAACTGGTTGCAAGGAAACGCTAGAATGCGAAGACCTTGTAACACAAAATAAAAATTGGGTAAAGTAATGGAATATTTCAGGCTTTCTTGAATTACAGCATAAATAAATTAAAACAAACTAGAAATGTTTATATTTTTTTAATAGTTGTATTTATTTTTAAATAGGTAGCCAGTTAGTGGTGGTGTATTGGGTCATCGAAAAATTTTCATTTAAAAAAAATCATAATTTTCAGAAAAATAAATATTGTTCCCAATTATTTTTCCACATTTGACAATGACACCTGTCAAAAGTTGAATAGGTATACGGAACTCATGGAATTTGTTAAAAATTAAATAAGGCAAGCAGGGTTTAGAAACTTACATTTAGCTATGTTCATGAAATTTTTTTTTAATCATGCTATAAATATTTTTTAAACCTTAAAAATTTTTTTAACCTTATTTTCTGAAAATTTTCCCAACTCTGGCTAATATTTTAAAACATGTTTGTAGAAGCAACAACACTAGCAACTGACCTATCACAATAGAATCATGTTAATTCTATTCACCTCACCTTTGCTCTCTGCGTACTGCTCATACAACTCATTGAGTGACTTGTAATTGCTCGCTGTGAGCCCACACTCAGACGCGACATTCACGATAATACACACATGACCTTTGTACACATCCAGTTTCACATCCTCTCCTCTGATATTCTTCACAGTAAACTCGTGAATCGAAGTCGCCGTCTTGTAGTCCGGATTCTCTGCCATTTTTCTAGACAGACCTAAATTTGTTATTAAGAGCTAAAGCAAGTACTTACTTAAGTGAACTACTATTTAGACTCGCCGTTATATCTACATTTTATTTTGTTTTTATATAAAGGTCTGCAATTTATTTTGCTTCAAACATGCGAACTTAAGCATTTATTATTTACATATTTATAAGCCCACTATTTGTAGGGTGAAGAATATTCCATTCCAATTCCAATTTCTCTAGAATGGCTCCTCAGGTCAAAATATAGGTTTTGTAATGAGTCGAGTTCTGGAATACGGCCCTCAGAATGGCTCCATCAATTGCCACGACGATTCTGGCAATGTCAGGGTTAAATGACTATTTACAGTATTTCGGTAAAATTATTATAAAAAATTATAGCGAACGACGACGCCAATGCCTAACTGAAGAAAAAAACCTAAAATATTTCCCTAGAAAATTGACATTTATACAAATACAAAATGACAGGCCGGTGTTTTGACATAAAAATAGTGATGCTGAGATTACGCCGAAACCATTCAATTATTGCATAACTTTTTTATAATGGAAATACTTATTAGAAATTCAGAAAAATATAAGTTACTTACACAGCACTTATGTTGGCCCGAGATATGCACAAAACGTTACCAACGATCGGTGCGACAAGCCGGGAAAAGCCTCGAAATGCGATTGTCATGTTTGATTGTAGATCGTAATAAAACCTGTTTTGTAACCAATGGTACTCTCGAATACTGTGGTGGATAAATTAAATTTTATTGGTACTATTGCTTTTGAACTCTGAATATTTTTAAACATAAAAAATTAAAATGTATTAAACTTCTAATAATTATATGTTTGTTATTTGTTACAATATTTATAATTTTTATACATTTATTCTTGTAAATGAGTACTTTTCGATTTTGAAAGTTTTTTAGGTTTTGAACTCACATGAAAAACGTCAAACTGACATTTAGGGAAGCTCTTAAATCGTGTATTAATTTTATCTAGCTTGAGTTTACATTTTTTTAAATTAATTATAATTATCAATAATATAAGTAGAACATTAGTTTAAATATGTAGAAGTTTTATTTATATTGTTCAGAATATTTTCAAAATATGTAATCTGAGCACATAAAGTGTTTAGGTCATAAGATAAACATCGTAATGCGACAACTGGACTAGTGTTCTTGAACGTACCGTCGAAGTCTTTCTGTGTGTCTCTCTCTCTCTGTCAATGCGTAGAACCTTGCAGAAATAAATTGATGTGATTTAAAATAAAGAGAAATTCAGATTGTCCATAACAATGTCGGCTTTACTTTCTAATATTCGCAGATGTGTGAGCCTTAATAATGTTGGAGTCGTCCAAGCAGCCATGTACCATGCTAAGGTAACTTAGTTTATCATTGTGCAAGAGTATCTATTTGCTACGGAACGACGCAATGAGCTAAAAAAATATTATGCACATGTTTACTTATCGAGTCGTGACTAGTGTTCTATTATCATAACTTCAACAAATTTTATTATTAATGACTTTTCTATATCTTCGTCGATGAAAACATACCTATCTAAATTGTTATATGTTGTAGGTTATTGACCATTACGAAAACCCTCGCAATGTTGGTTCCATGGATAAAAAGGATAAGAGTGTAGGCACGGGTTTGGTCGGAGCTCCTGCTTGCGGCGATGTCATGAAGTTGCAGATCAAAGTCGACGAAAATGGAAAGATAATTGACGCTAAGTTCAAAACTTTCGGCTGTGGGTCTGCTATTGCATCAAGTTCGTTAGCTACTGAATGGGTGAAGGGGAAAACCGTAGATGAAGCTCTGACGATTAAGAATACTGATATTGCTAAAGAGTTATCTCTTCCCCCTGTCAAACTGCATTGTTCAAGTAAGTATTATTATCAAGTAAGTTGCATTTACTTAGACCAAGTGGGTAGCAATACTAAACACATGAGTGTTTTTTTTTTGATACATAATTCATATTTAATTGTTAATTCATTGTGCTAGACTTAAAAAATTGCTGGCATTGAAAAAAATGTCTTTCAGCTTCCATTTCTACACTTATCTCATCCATCTGGAAAGACTGTAATATAATTTTTGCCAGAAGTCCACTCAGGCATAATTTAAGGGTTATTTTAGTCCTTTAAATATAGGATTGATAATGTAATGATTTAGAGTCCAGTTACCATGCTTTTAAGTACATTAATGGTGAATCGGAATTCTATTTACTAGGCAACAACATTAAATTCCTCAGAATAATAAGGTCGCCGTGTAGATCAAAGACAAGCCAGCCCAGGACGCTCACTTAAGTTCAAACGTAAAATCTAAATAAATAAAGTTTACTTTGCCATGTTGTGTTCAATAAATGCGCCCTAAGGTTTTCCTGCCATCTACACAAGTATAGTTTGGTTTCTATAAGAAGAGGTACTTTGAGACAAGACCCCCCCAAATAGCTAGATTAATCCACAGGGATTGACATTACAAGGCTGATACTGATACCTAAGGCTTTATTAAAAACAAGATTAAAAAGAAAATAAAAAGATAAATGTAATAATTTTCCATAAGATTAAGCAACTTGTTTCTTTAATTGAAAATTTTTGATGTAGTCAAAAACATAAAATTAAAAAAAAATGTGTGGTTAATTAAATTAAGAGCAAATATTATCAAGTTGAACATATTAAATCTCCTCAGTTGTTGAGAGCAATTTGTAAGTAAATATTATTTTCCAGTGTTAGCAGAAGACGCAATCAAGGCAGCTTTATCTGACTATAGAATCAAACAACAAGACAAGAAGGAATAGACATTGACTTGTAATGATTTGGAACAGATCTGTGATTGCTGATTGGACAGAAATACATGACTTTTGAATTAAACTATAAATTATAATTAGTTTTATTTAGAAGTACCATAAGTTTGAAATAAAAGTGGAAATGTGACTTCAACATACTCTGTATTGTCTGAAAACCAGAAATACTGAAATACTTTTTAAAAAACATTTAATTCTGTCTGCCTCCTTGAACATAAACAGATTGCTATAGTTTTAATGTGGCTTAGAACAAAGAGTCTTGTGAAGCTCATCTATCTCAGTTGCATTTCGGCAGATTGTGTGCACTGGCCCACCATCTTTCACCTTTAAATGGCTCAAGCCATGCTCATCTTCAACTCTTCAAGTGTCAGAATATTTCATATTTCTACAAGTCATAAAAACTCTTGTATTTCTTTCCAAAGATTGTATATGCTAGACATTTTAGTAGAGTTAGGCGAGTTTTATTCATTTAAGTTAGTAATGATCAATGCAATTTTTTTCTCAAACAAGACATAGTGTGAATTCCAGTAGTTGAAGAGGGTAGACTAATTTAACAGCTCGAAAGTTAAGTCTTCTGTCTTTTTTGTACTGATAGCTAAAGAACAGTTGCACTTAATTTAAAATAATCATAGTAATTGTTAAAATTTAGGTAGTCTGTATTTGATGATTTTTGTTTTCAATAAATAGTTTCTAGTAAGCTTAATTTGATGGTTTTATTTAAAATTTAGTTACTTCGATTATATCCTAAGTCCTAAAAGTACTTTTTCAACTCCTGTATTATAATTTCATAAACCATATCACGTCGTTACCACGTCGCGTCCGATCGGCTGGTCTGGAAATCTTTAGGGGAGGCCTATGTTTAGCAGTGAACGTCTTCCGGCTGATATGATGATGATGAAACCATATCACAAAGGCGCTTTTATTAGCTCTGAACCAAAATTCCATTGTCTATGGTACTCGCCACTGAACTGAATATTTTTTATCAGTTCTGCTTAGAGAACTTTATGGAGTTTCAAAAAAAGAACGTGGTGTTTTGCTAATTAAAAATGTCCTTAGAATAACGGCTCTATATTTGTGAAATTAATAATTTTATGAATACCTCAAAGTGTTACATAACAAGTACAGGGGCGTAACCATTTGGCAAAAAATTGTTATTTCAAAGCAATATAAAAGTTCAAATTACTGTACTCAAACGCTCTATTGCATCCCGGTATAATATTTCAAACATCATAGATCAAGACAACCTGAATCCCTGAATTGTCATCCTGTGTAATAAAACTAGACATGAGCGCCGATAATAGATCAACCGGCGGCGGCGCGCCGACAAAACAATATTTAAGAAGTAATTACAACATTTGAAAATGGAACTCTTTGGCTGTAGAAGACAGTTTGTTTCATATGACTGTCACTTGTATTTACATTATGGCGTCATTTTAAAAATTGGTTGTTTACATCACCATGGATTTAATGCGTGAAAATTTTCGTAGCATGATTTTCTACGACTTTAAGTGTAACTTAACAGCTCAGCGGAGCTTCGCTCGGCTTCAAACTGCTTTTGGCGATGAAGCACCATGCAAGACGACCATTTATAGCTGGTTTGCAGAATTCAAACGCGGTCATGTGAATCTCAGTGACGAATTTCGTGGTGGTCGCCCGTCCACTGCTGTGAACAACAAAAACATCGATGCTGTGCGCCGTATGATCAAAACAGACAGGCATGAGACATACATACAATGCGATTTGCATCTTTAGGCATAGTTATGGGTCAAATACAATCAATAGGTGCTACACAAACATTTGGGTGTGAAAAAGCTGTGCTCTCCGTGGATCCGACACAATTTGACTGAGGCTCAAAACACGGATCACATCACTTGGTGCAATGCCATGCTTACCAGATTCAACGAAGGGGCGCGGGCGTCGAATTGGGTATGGGACATAGTAACAGGTGACGAAACATTGATTTATAGTTACAATCCCAAAACAAAGCAGCAATCGAGCGTATGGGTCTTTTGAGATGAGCCGAAACCAACCAAAGTGGCGCGCATGCAAAATGCCTCTAAGCGGATGATTGCTTCTTTTTTTTTAATAAAACTGGACACGTGGCTACTGTTGCTTTGGAGAATCGTTGTACCGTGAATAGTGATTGGTACACGACTATTTATTTGCCGGAAGTTATTGACAAACTCCGTAAAAATAACCGTAAATGCCGTATCATCTTGCATCATGATAATGCCAATTCTCATATGGCCAGACAGATAAATGAATTTTTGAAAGTGAACAACGTTGACCTTATGAGCCATCCCACATACAGTCCCGACCTGGCACCTTGTGACTTTTATTTATTCCCAAAAATTGAGAACCAGTTACGCGGTCAACGATTTTCATCACCTGAAGAAGCTGTCGAAGAGTATGAAAAATATGTTTTAGACATTGTCACGGAGCAGTGGCTATGTTGAGTGTGTGCGTTATTAACTTATAGTGCTTATAGTACGTATTTTCTATGGTAATGAAATTTTTATCAGTTCGATCAGGCGCTCCGATCGTACGCACGCACACGCTTCCATATTGTGTATGCGTAGTGAAAATGGCGACGCCAGAAATTGACAAATTAATTTTTTAAACAAAACATCTTTAAATATAAAGTCACTAACTAACTTTTGTCGACTATCTATGTCACCTCTGCTGAGGCCGGAAGGCACGCTGGCTTACATTGCAGACGACAGGGCAAATCTTTTTGCCTCACTCTTTGCAAATGTTCGCGTCTGGATCTAATCTTACCTCAGTCTGGCTGCACTATGGCGCAAATTTGCATACGCCAAAAAGGGGTACTTACAAATCTTTGGAATCTAGACGTGAATCCTGCGTAACTGTGCGCCTGAGTTGTCTCCTGTTCTCACACGCCTGTACCGCTTCTCACTTGAGACTGGTGTAGTTCCCAGGTCGTGAAAGCTTGCACACGTGCAACCAGTGCCGAAAAAGGGAAGCAGAGCTGACCTTGTCAACTATAGACCAATCTCAGTCACTTCCATACTCTGCAAGACTATGGAACGCGTACTCAACAACCGTCTCCTGTCGTACCTTGAAGACAACGACCTCCTCAGTGATCGCCAGTACGGATTCCAACGAGGGCGATCGTCTTGTGTATGCCTGTCACATATGGAGCGAGGCTATAGAAAAGTAAGGCGAATCACTTGCAGGGTCTTTGGACATTTCTAAAGCCTTTGACAGGGTCTGGCACGCAAGCCTTTTGAGTAAGCTTCCCTCTTATGGGCTTCTCACTGAACTTTGTCTGAGTCTATGGTTAGCCGTTTGGATTTGACACTCCAGGCAGTCTCCGATTGGGGCGATGCTAATCTTGTCAAATTTAACGCTACCAAAATTCAGGCGTGTCTATTCTTCACAAAACGGAGTCCCTTCGAGCTGACTCCGACTTTTCGCGATATATCCATACCGATAGCCAGGTGCCTCCAGCTACTTGGAATGGACTTGTCGTCCAATTTGAATTTCGACAGATACATTGCATCCATGGCCAAAAATGCAGCAAGGAAGCTTGGCATCCTTTCCAGGGTGAGGCGTTACTTTACACCGGGACAGTTGCTTCAGCTGTACCAAGCACAAGTCCAGTCGTGCATGGAGTACTGCTGCCACCTTTGGGATGGCTCTGCTACATATCATCTGGCCACTTTGGATTCAATGGATTTAACTTATACAGCGTGTCCCAAAATTCAACGATAAGCGGGCGCTGGAGGGTGGACCTGCGCATAACTACTTGAGGAAAAATAAGAAAAAAAATCTATCTCATTTTTTTTTTCAATTACGATAAAAAAATTGTTATTCTTCGAAAATTTACTCCCTTAATGATATTTTGAATCACCACGACCACATTTTTTCAGATATTTCTGATGTTTTAATTTTAACGGCCACCTAAGTAGTACTGCTGTCTACCACAACTCTTAAAAACCCTAGAATGCCTGCAGTTTTACACAAAAATCCATCAAAATATTTTTTTTCCTTAAAATTTTGAAATATTTTTACCTTCAGTCGACTTTCACTCATCGTTTTGTAAAAAAAAAGTATGGACACCACTGCGGCAAGTTTTTTTAAAAATTGACGCAACTAACCAAGATTCCAAAGTGGTATAATACTTTAATAAAACTAGGCGCCAAAAATATTGGTACCATTTCTAAGAAAGATTAAAATTGTTGATTATTGTTCTTGTTCATAATAATCACTTTTACTATGTGCCGAAAAAAGGTTGTGTTGCAATTTCTTGGAATTTCAATGGCACGTGTGCGTAGTCGATACAATTTAGAAATTCCTCCAATTCACAGTCCAAAGCGATGCGAAGCGAAGCGAATGGCGAACGGCTATGGAGTGGAATTCCCTGCCTGCAGACTTGTTCCCTGAACGTTATAACTTGGGACTTTTCAAGGGGAGAGTGAATAGGCATTATTTAGGTGTGCAAGCTGCATCGTCGACCTCATCGTCACTTTCCATCAGGTGAGATGGAAGTCAAATGTGCACTTATATTTTATTTAAAAAAACCTTTAGGATGGCTTTGCAACATTTCAACTGGCCACCTTGGATTCAATTGATAACCGTGCCAAGAAGCTTATAGGTAACTCGGAATTAGTGGAGGCGAAGCTGCAAAGCCTTAAACACCGCCGTAAAGTTGCTAGCTTATCGAAATTTTACAGGATATATCACGGAGAGTGCGATGGAATTACACGATTTAATTCCGTCTCCCCCTTTCCATCACCGGGGGACTAGGCGTAGACTTGGGTTCCACCTCTATGTTGTGGATGTTCCAAAGATTCGCACGAAGCGTTACATTTATATGGCGAACAGGTATATAGTGGAATTCCCTGCCTGCAGACTTGTTCCCTGAACGTTATAACTTGGGCCTTTTTATGGCGAAAGTGAATAGGCATTCATCCATCGATCGTAACTTTACATCAGGTGAGATGGAGGTCAAATGCGAACTTACATTTTATAAAAAAAAAGTTTTATCTTAAAAAAGTCATTTTCTGATGTCGCCATTTTTACATACACAATACGGAAACGTGCGCGTGCGTACGATCGGAGCGCCTGATCGAACTGAACGGCGCGCCAATTGCATTTGTCGGCGGCAGCGGCGCAAGGAACAACGCAGCGCGGCGGCGGCGGAGGCGCGCCGGCGCGCGCGGCGCTCATGTCTAAATAAAACTAATACTAATACCTTTAGTATAAAGTTTTAACTGTTTATTGATTTCTGTTACAGCGTTGTAGAAGGGTTGGATTTTTTACCGACTTCAAAAAAAGAAGGAGGTTCTCAATTCGGCTGTTGGTATGTTTTTTTTTTGTATATATGTTACGCGATAATTTGTGAACCGATTTCGATTATTCTTTTTTTGTTGGAGGGTACAGTCAAGAGCACGTCAAGCCTGACACTTTGTGATTTGGACCGTTCTTATCGTAAGCGGCATAGAGTTGGATTTAAATCTTAAGTGTCAAGCTTGACGTGCTCTTGACACTGTACCTTAGAAGTGGTCTCATTTAAATCTGAAGAAAATATTCCACCTCTAAGGGTGGCAAACTAGGGAATGAATGACTTTTGTAAAAGACTTTTTTGTGCGTTATTGACGTAGTACCAGGGAATTATTAAAAGAAACGAATTCATATTAGCGTACAAGTTTATTGAAATTACAACCTATTGCTGTAAGTCGAATATAATATGC